TTGCATAGCATCATTGCGCGCGGGCTGGTTGGTCCCCTGCATATTTTCAACGAGAATGCACCCTAATCTGCTTTCTTCATTATGATTTCCACTTTTCAGCTTTATAACAAAATTCCATGGGATTGCAAAATTAAAGGAAACCCTTTTAGGCATAATATTATCACCAAATCATCTTCTAAAAGAATCAGCAAAGAAATTAATGGAACACGGTTTTGCAGTTTCCACCAAACTGCATTACAACGTAGGAACTAACTGGACATGTGAACTAATCGTGACAGAGATTACGAAGTTGCCTGTTACTTAATTTTGTCACATTTTGTCGTGTAGACCATATACCTTGCTTAACAACCATGTCAGGGGGAAGGTATATCCACAGCAGTTCATTAGTGCATTTACAGGTTGAATGGAATAACTGACAAAATGTTCCAATCTGCTGCTAACAAGTGCTAAAGCAATTTCTTCGCTGTCATAAGATTATGTAGAATCATATTCCATAAAATGTGAAACTTTGGTTTTATCGGATGGCATAGTTAATTTTCATTATTTTGCGATCCTTTCCTTCCACATCAAGAATTCCAACTTCTAAGATATTGATTGAACTGTGTATGTGTACATAAATTCATATAACTACACAAATTTTTCTCTCTTTATTAGGAAGACAAAAATATCTACCTATGAATACCATACGTGAACTAGAAGTATCTGGGTAGTTATGTTTCTTTGATTTACTGTTGTTAATGCTCTCGTGAATATGGTTGTGTTGGTTTAGGTCATTCACTTCATCTCTTTCAGTAACGTGACTGCAATAAAATGAAATCTTCCACGTATTTACTCCGTCATGCAGCCTGAGAAGATATTTGTCTTCTACTTTCTTTTTGTTTTCAGTTAGGAAAAAAAGACAAGGCTGAATGATTGCAATGGAGGAGAGAAAGTGATGAAGTTGTTTTTCGTGTCTGCACAGAGGAAGACATGAGAGACAACAGAAGGTGCTCACGTGAAGCAAATCCTCACCATATATGATCCATGAATATGTCAGGAACACACTTAAAAAACCACACCACACAAAACATGTCTGAGCTACTTTGCACTCTGAATATTTTTCACATAACATGTCGTGTCAGGTTTGTTTTCTAAAAGGGCATGCTTGAGTGGGCATTTTCTTTTTAATTTTAACAATAATTTACTGATTTTTAAAATTTAAGAAATATTGTGTTTAATGTCAGTACAGTAAACGTTTTAATTAGTTTAAACTGTAATGAAAAAAACAAACTTCGATTTCATCTGTCTCCAAAAGTTCATTTTGAAACACAATTTAAGAAGATATTAGAAACATAAATAGAGACAGAAATGGTGAAAACCAGATGTTGTCGTAAAACAGTGAAAGTATGAAAGAATATATGCAACTCCAATTAATGTAACAAAAAGTGAAGGCAAGGAAAGGGTAATAAAAGATAAAGGAAAAGAAGAAGAAGATGAGAAAAGGAAAAACATCACATACTATTTAGCCAAAGGTATAAAGAATTCACGTGATGAAAGAAACTTATGACTTTTCGGCTTTAATTGTTTTTAAGGGGTACCTCTACATTCTCCATCTATCACATATTAAAAGAGGATGAGACAGATGTCCATTTTTGGTAAAGATAGATGTTATGGCAAGATGTATTTAAAGCTATTTTTAAAAACAATCATACATTAACACAATTTACACAATTTCAATGAAAAACCAATCATACATTAACATACACGTGTATTTTTTTATTAGATTTAAAATAACAAATAAATAATAAATCAGTGAAAAAATAATATTAAAATGTTATAAAAAAGTCTCTGTTAAATTTTTTTCTTCATTTTCTAAATGGCTTCAATTTTTATTTCTAATTTTTATTTTCAAATAGTATGGTTTATGCACGTGAGTGGTAAGTGGTCAAACATAGAATAATCAGACTCTTTATTTTTTCAATAGAACAATTTTATTTCACACTATGAGCCAAGATAATATTATCAAATCGACCTTCGTTTGATTTACGACATTGTACGACAAAAATAATATCTTTAATGAATTTTGTTGGTGGGTGTTCGTATTACGGCCCAAAATGCTTTTACTTTTCGGCACCCTATCAATTTGGGATGTTCATAAAGCAAATTGTTGGGGCTTTTGCATGTTGTGTTGGGCTCAGCCATGGGATAATCCACATTCTGCTTGTGTTTACACAAAGCCCGCAACACAATTGCACAAAAACCTAACAAGTCTTTCGTGTTATCGATAAGAAATATAAATTGAGTCAGAAATACTCAAAAGTCTGATAATGATACCTCACATCATATTAATTATTTATAAAAAAGTCAAAATAAGAAGCATAATTTTATCAACCAAATCACTCATAAACAACATTTTCATTCCCAACAAATCTACTATGATTTCCATATATGAAAAATTATCTAGCTTTTTATCCCTATATTATTGGAACTTTCGTACTTATTTTTCAGAATTGAAGCTGGGAAATGGAAAGAAATGGCACAATTACGGCAATCGTGATATTTTTTACATTTAATAAAATTTTACCTTTATCTCACACCTATTTTTTATTCTTTTTTTATTTTGTTTTTGTTTAAAAATATTAAAAGTTTTTTTTAATGATCACATTACTTCTAAAAATGGATTGTCAAGAGACCATAATAAAATCATTGTGTAGATAATGATTAGAAGAAAAAAAACATCACTGATCTAAAAAAAATCACACAAAAAATAAAAAGTAGAATGAAGAAGAAGAAAAATATGATATTAAATATTAAATTTTAATGCATATTTTATTTCTCGAATTATATAAATATCCAATAAGTATAAATTACAATTGGATAAATATAAAATAATCATAAGAGAAAAAATTAAGAAAGATAGAAAGACCAAAGCAAAATTAATAAGTTTAATAATTTTAAATGAAACAAATATAAATACTGAAACGAGTTAAAAACTTTATGTACCTAAAAATATCGATTTAGGTATCCAATTTTAAAAAAATAATATTACTCATACCAATTTATAAATATAAGTTGTTTTTTTATCCTAATCACATCTGAAGTATATATATATATATATATATATATATATTAGACATGAAAGATCGATAGGGAAAACAAAACAAAAAAATGTTCTTGAATTTTTTTTTAATTCTAAATCGATATGTAATAATGCAAAAGCTCTTAATCAGAATGAAAGTTAGAATCGTTTAAAAATCTGTAATCCAAATAATTTTTAAACTTATTCATCCAAAATAAGGATTATTGGAGTTATTTGTTTGAAATATGAGTTTCAAAAAGTGGTAAAAAAAAATTCAATAAAAAATAATAACCATATTTATCAAAACAAAAAACCACAAGTAGATAGTTATATGTAGGATTATATTTATGTATTGTGGATACTTGTTTTTATATTAATGTTTTTTTGTGATATGGAATGTTTACAGAAACAAAACAATCATTTAAAAAAAAAAACTATAGCCAGCAGTTGTAGTAAAAATAAAATCGAGGTAGAAAAAGGTCTATGGTCTTGGTTGTCAACCCAATTGAAGCGATAAACCGTATAATTAATTTTAAAGGTTTACGGTTCTCAATTGGAATCAAAACCGAGACAATAGATCCAACTTTTTTTTTTGGTTTTGAATTTTTTGAACTGGGACAAAACCATAACCTATTTTGCTTTGATTTTTTATCTAAGGCCAAAAAGTCCCACATTTTTACCTTGTTTGAATATATCTCAGTTTTGAAACCGTTGTCATAACACCAAAACAAACGTTGTGGTATCCCTTTGTTGCATTAGTGTTGACTCATTAGTTGTCTTAAATCTAGTTCGAAAAACGAGTTTATTTATTAGGGGTTCAACAAATTGACTCTCAATAAGAAAACGTAGGATTATTCTTTTAAAGGATTATAGTTTGAGTAACTATGTGGGTTGGCATTAGTGTATTAATGAAGATGAGATGTGTTTTCTTGAATGAAGTAGAATTATTTATGTGCTTATAGAAACATATAAATTTGAAAAATTGAATGTTAGATTCTCAGCCAACAAATATAAATCTTCATTTAAAGACATTGAAAACAAATTTGAGAAATGAGCAATGAAATTTGCAAACTAATGGTGTTATTTTTTTTTATTTATGTTTGTACCTTTTCTTAAAATTAATATGTGATGTATTTGGTTATATGCTTCCATTTTGTAAGATGTTTGAAAAATGATTATCATGATGTAATTTTATGTATTGGTTGACATGTGTTATACACTGAATGCGATGTATATTCTAATTTTTTTTATTGACCCCTAATATGAAAATTACATAAAAAATACATTTAAACTCTTTCATGGAAAATAAAATTATCTATTTTTTTAATTATTTAATTTTCTTATGTATCCTAATGTTTCTATTTTTTCTTTTTAATAATTATTTTACTCAATTAATTTCACTTTTGAATTTTAATACTGTGTACCAAACTTTTCTAATTATTATGATGTGTTATCCAATTTCATTTTATTTTAATTATTTAACTTATTTTTTAATTATTTGAGTGATATTATGTTATTTCGTTTCATTTTCGTATAAAATGTAATATATAAAAAATTACACAATATACAAAACTGTGATATAAAGATTCATATTTGACTTATAATATTATGTTCAAAATATTTTCTTACAATAATTTAAATTTATTTTATTATTATTTTTGTAATATAATGCATAAATACAAAGTCTCTTTCCCTTATATAATAAAATATAATAAAAATGTATCTAACTTATCCATATATACCATAATTTTTTATTAAAACTTATGCTGTATAGTTAAAATTATATTTTTTATATGAAATAAAATAATATGTGAACATTATATATATATATATATATATATATATATATATATATATTAATTAGAGAAGAAAATAAATATATAGAACATTTTGATATAAACTTAAATTTATCAATCTCATTTCATTAAGTATCTGATTCATATTAGAAGTTCAAGTCATAGAAGTGCTCAAAGTATGAGTGGTTTGAAATTTGTATAATTTCTACATATTTCAGCCCAACAAAAAATGCTCCCAAGTTGTATATGTTAACCTTCAATTGTTTAAGGTACTTTAAACGCAGAATTTTCACATTCAGCAATCCCATGTCATGTATAATTTCTAGTTTTCCTCCAGTTATATGTAGCTCAGGTGGTATCATTTTGAAAATTTGAAAACATTCTCGCAAACTTTTTCCAGGAAAACATTCAAGATGCAACTTTCTCAAGTCTGCTGGCAAATAGATAGGAAATTTAGCATACCTTGGGTGAGACGCACTCCAAGATATTTTGAGATGTTTAAGTGCTGAAAAATTTTTCAAACTTTCAAACTCGTTATCCCTCATCATGGCCTCCCTTCCTATATTTATGCTCAGTCGTCTTAGTTTTTTCAAATTTCCAAGGTCTGATATTCTGCAAGGAGTGTTTTCAGAAGTGCTTATTAAAAATCCTTTGAGTACTTGGAGATTAGTGAGCTTCTCAATCCCCTTTGGCATGCCTTCCAATAAGCAACACTCAGACATAATCAGATGTGTTAGACTTTTCATTGATGAAACATCATCAGGCAGTCTTTCCAAATTATGACACGCTTTCAGATCAAGAATTAGTAGACTCTCAAGTTTAGCAATGGAGGATGGAAGCTCGAATATTCTTGATATCCCACGCAAACTCAAATATTTTAACTGCTTCAGAGTTCGCATCTCTCTCAAGAATTCTTCACTCCCAACTTCAATGTGATGCAAAGGTGAATCTTGCCACCGTCCTAGGTGAAGCACCTCTAAATTCTTGAACTGATCGGTGACCCATTGCGGTCTAAAATTCAGATAACTTGCACCAATATTAAAAATATCAACTAAATTAACATTTCTCTTATCAACTCCATCTACTGTAACTTTTTTTAATTCAAGCAGTAATCGCGATGGGTTCGTATGCTCTAAATCTTTATCAAAATATATCTTCAACTGACTACGGACCTGAGGAGGAATTTTAAATTTATTGACAGTGGGATCCTTTCTACTACCATAGCGAACAATCACCTCAAGTTTCAAAAGATTAGCAAGCACATCCTCACCCGATTCCTCTGCTGTTTTGTCCTCTGTATTTTTAATCAAACGCTCCCAAATCCACAAATTAATTGCATTTCTTTTCCTTATCACAACATTTGGAGGGAAAATTAAAAGAGAACGCAAGTAACCTCTTATTGAGTTAAAATCTCCCGAACTGATCTCATGTTGCGAGTGAGATATTTTGTCACCCCTGTGATCCTCCTCCTTATTAGAGTCATCAAAAACAAGCATTGGGAGCAAAGCGAGAGCAGAATCTTTGATACTCTTGCAAATGCTATGCATGTCTTGATGTAGCTTCCTACGGTCTAACCTGCGAAGATGGTCATGCACCTCTGCTAATGTGTCCAGCAGTTTTTCTTCATTCTTCTTCACTTCCACAAACACATCCTTTATTTTGTTCAGAACCAACCACAACTTCTTCAATTCCCCATCAAATGATTCATCTCTTCCTTTTTCATGGAATTTCCTCATTGACGTTGTCAATTGCTTCATCAACACACCTACGGCTTTCATTTTGTTTGTTCGAATTGACATTTTACTGCAAACAAACAAATATACACAACGTCACCCAATTTTTCTTACTTCAAACCCGTGTATATCTATAAACTCAGCACCTGCCTTTAGAGCCGAAAACATGAATGAAAAGAACAAATAGAAAACGATAATTAAAATATGAAATACGGTCTGTCAATTATGCTAGCCTATGAACATAAACTCTTTTTTATAAAGTATTGGTTATTTTGAAGTCCGTGCTCTAGTTTTGCCTTTAAAAAGTATTTTATAAATGAAAAAAAAAATTTAAATTGTCTTTTGATATCTATTCCTAAGTAATAAAAAACTAATGGTAAGATAAAAACAGAGTTAATAAAAGAAAACATCATGCATGCACGAACGATAGTTTTCACATAGCAATTACGAACAATAGTTTTCACATAGCAATTAGGAAAAGTTTAGTTATTTAATAAGCTACATAAGATCAAACTAATCACAATCATCAACAACAAATAATAATCAATCATAATATAATAAATTTCTTGGTGTAGATATAAAAACATAATATATGTATTCAAATCAAACTTTTTCTACAAATAAAACAACATAAATTATATACGTTCAAAATTATTTAATTCAAAGGATATAGTAGAAGTTTGAACTCTATTAGCATCTACCAATAAGTGATATATATGGGTTATAACCCTCGTTTGAAGCATCATATAAAAGTTTAATATTTCTATACAATATCAATAACAAAATAGAGTTGAACCTTTGAAATAATTGGGACAAAAGAAGGTAGATATGTAGGAATGTATTTACTTCACTAGATAACTTCGTCCAATTCTTTCTGTTACACCCTGCCACTGACAAAAGAAAAAAATGATATTAGAAAATCGCACAATCGAAGCTAGTATATGATTGAAAACTGGATATTAACAAATTATAATAATCAATTTCATAAAAGAAACACACATAAACACACACATATATATATTATATTATATTATGAAAACCAACAAAAGAGACTCAAGGTACATCTCACCAAACCCCAGGAGGAATTTCAAGAGAAGGAAAACTTTGTGGAAGATAATCCTCTTGTGGATACAACAATCTCAAATAAACGATTTAAATACAATCTGATATAGTTAAAGATAGTTTTGAAGGAAAGTATGCTTGATATGGAGGGAAGCTAAATCATGGCATCAGAATGTCCAGTTTTAGTATGATTTGAAGTAAGGAATTACCCCACAAAAGTTTCACGTCATTCTTTGAGGACCTTAGACTTTAATGATCCCAAAAAGTTTGATTTTCCCTTCAAAGAAAGAATCTATAAATTTGTTACGCTTTTTAAAATACAAGGATTTTGTAAACCATGTAAAAGTTTCAGAACAGGCGAGACAGATGAAAAGGGACAATAAGTAAAGGAAAATATCATTGGCTTAGAGTCACAATAAACAAAGCCATTGCTATAAAATATGCTTTTGCTTTTCGCCACCCTATCAATTTGGCATGTTCATAAAGCAAATATTTCGGGTTTTTGCATGTTGTATTGGGCTCGGCCATTGGATAATCTACATTGAGGATAGCCAAGGATTGGGTGTTGCTCCCTCCACCACCACACCTTTCTCCCTCTACCTCCCCAATTTTTTTTAATTCCAACTATATCCTCAGATTAAAATTTTTTACTTTTATTATTTTAATTTATTTCAAACCTAGTTCTCCTACTTTACTCCCTGCACCCAATCTTTCCATCTCTCATTTTCGTTTAACAAATTGTCTTCCGTTTTACTCTGCAACCCCATTTGTCTTCTTCGTTTCACTTCTCCTCATCTGTTTCTTTCTTCTTCATTTTCCTTACATTATTAAAATACATTAAAAATATATTCAAAAAATAATAAATCAAAACATTTAAATTAAATTATTAAAATATTTCCAAAATAAAGAATAAACTAATAAAACAAACCCTAAAATAAAAAACGTAACCTTTAGTGACATCTTTCAATGGATGTCAACATCCGTTTAAGGAAAAACGAATGTCGACATCCGTTTTACCTTAAACGGATGTTGACATCCGTTTTACCTTAAACGGATGTTGACATCCGTTGAAGGATGTCACCTCCGTTTAAAGGTTACGTTTTTTTATTTTAGGGTTTTATTTGAAGGTTTATTCGAATACGCACCTGGAGGAAGCAACACACGCACTGCACCACTCCACACACTGCACCACGAGAGCGACACTGCACCACGAGAGGGAGATTGCTTGATAATTCTTTCCATCACCACCAACATTTGCAACTTGTAGTATCTCACAACAACGAAAGAAAGAGAGGAAGAAATATATGTACGGGGGACTAGAATAGGTTATTAGTGGAATAAGTTGTGAATAGGTAAAATTAAAAAATAATAACTTTAAAAATAAAATTTTACTTAGGGACAAAATAGTAATTGAGAGGTGGAGGGAGAAAGGTGTGGTGGTGGAGGAGAACACCCCCAAGGATTTGCTCATGGCTTTTTCTTCCTGCACGTCCATAATTGCACAAAGCCCTAACAATGTGCTTGTGTTTACAAAAAGTCCGCAACACAATTGCACCAAAACCTAACAAGTCTTTCGTGTTGTCATAATATAATATTAATAATTTAATTCATACTATTATTAGATATTTAAATTCTTCACACAATATAATACTAAAAACTTGTTTTAGTTATTTTAATTTTAATTTTTAATTAATAAAATAATTAACGGAGCAACTTGTGCCACTCTATTATTAGTGACTGAGGGAACTATTCTATCACTCAATTATTTTACCTGTTAAATTTCTCAACATTATGTGCATGTCATCATGCCATAAAATTAAACTAAATGACTGTAAACTTAAATTAAATTAAATACAATCCATATGTCATGTCCAGAATAAAGTATTTTTTAAACTTTTTGACTAACTTAATCATGTCAAACATCGAAAGCTTGTGAGTATATAATAAGCTTCAGGAGACGGCCAACTCCTTTTGAATTTCTTTAGTTCTGCACTCTCTTTTCAAATTGAACTCAAATAAAATTTTGAAAAATACCACAAGTACATATCTATATATTTATGATTTTTTTTTGTAAACAATCAAATTGGAAAACCTGACTGAACAAACAAAAACCAAAATCAATAGTATCTTTTTTTATTTTATTTGATCAAAATTTCATATGCAACCGATTTTAAAATAGGTCAAAATCGATCAAATTTTATATTAAGGATGTTCAGTTAATAATCATCGATAAAATAGGTAGATAAATGCATACCAATAACAATATTATTAAGAAAACAAAGATTCTATTAACATTTTCTTTTTTCTTTTTTTGTAAAACGTGACAAGAAGTTGACGTCAAACCATGAAAAAATAGTCGCATGTAGATGTCTATCTGAGATTATAAAGCGAATGAAGCTAAAAGCGCGCCACTAAATGGTGTAAATTATAAGCAACCTATAGAGTCAAAATATGAGTGTTATATATTATCATTCTTAAATTGCTACATCATAATCAGTAACAGTAATTATTTATATAATTTCTAATTAATCTTTTCTCCTTTTCCCATCACTTTCTTTTCACTCTTACTTCCTTTGTGTTAATTTCAAACAGTCCTTGAGATCTTCCAATGACAACATGCTTAAATTTTAATCTCCTTTAAGTATGTTTAAGGTATTTGTGCTATGACTGTACTGATTTAAGGTTTAAGGTCTAGATTTAAACTGATAACAGTATATTATCAAATTTACTCTCGAAAAATTATAAAATCCGATGTATTTTCCCGGCGATTCAGAAAAAAACGAGGAGAAACATACAAAAGAATGAGAAAATGAAAATCATAGGTGGTAACTAAGTACTATTAAAGACAACAATGCCGTGAATATTCGCGTACTTGTGTTTGGGCCAACTTGAAACTTCGCCGCGCCCTTACGTTGTTGTGCAAGGCGAGGCTACTCTGTCAGCTCGCAACCTTGTTATTCACAAATTTTAACTTTTTCTCCAACCTCTTCACTCTCTTTGCTACGCTATATATTTAACTTTACAACACTCTCCGTATTCATCCATTTCAAAACTCAAAACCTTCCTGAATAAGTCAGCCGTCATGGGAGAAGAGGTCTCAAACAAAACCCAACCAGAGTTGCACGATCACCATGTTGTTGTCGACTCTGTTCCTCCTCTTCAGGAAAAAGAATCAGATAAACCTGACCCTTCAAACGAGAACGTCGCTTCTCCTTCTCCACCTTTTCAAAGTAAATCTCTAACTCTTGTTTTACACCATACCTATATGTAATACACCCACAGCTTAAAAGCAAAATTTAAATATGATTTTGTTTACTAAGCTTAACAGAAACTCAGTTTATGCATGGTTTTTTTCTTCTTCTTGGTGTTTGAAGGATAAAGGATGTTTTTGCTAGTGTTTTCATAAACTCTTCTATGTGATTAATGCGTAGATCGAAAGCAGAATTGACGATCATGTTACTTTCTCTGTTTCTTTTCTTTCTCGCATCTTCTCTTTATTTAGTCCTGTTTTGTTCGAAGTTAATAAAGTTTGAAGAATAATTTTTCTGGTGCCTGTTCTTCTCTGTGTCCAACAAGATGGTTTTCTCATCATATTATACATTTCTTGTGTCTTGATTTTATCTGCCTCTTTCTTTTGAACCTTTGGTTTATTCAGTTTGTTTATCTTTTTGGTTACCTCTTTGAGTAGTTTTTGCTTTGGTTAAGACAAAGCTCTTAAAGTTCCTTTCTGGTTAAGACTTTTACTTCTATTGTATTCTTTGATATGTGTAAGGTAATATAGGTCATTAGATTAGAGTCCCTGTGGCATAAAACTATTATATATTGATCTTTTAAACAACGTGAATGAATCTTTAGGCAATATAATTGCTACACTTGCACGAATGGAGAAGTACTTGCATTGGGCATGTAGTATTTATATATCCTATGCAACAACTATTCATTCTCTCTGTCATGTTTTTCATAGAGGTTGAAGATCATCCTGCTGGAAAGGATGCCGAGGATTCAGTCAGCAAAGGTCATTCTTTAACAAACTGTTATGTACTTACTGAATGTTCAAGAGATAGGTAACCTTTTTTCACATTGTTTCACCAGATGTTATGCTTGCAAGAGTTTTAACAGAGAAAAGATTGGCTTTAATCAAAGCATGGGAGGAAAGTGAAAAGACAAAGGCAGAGAACAGGCAAGTTGTCACCTTAAATAATCCAAACAGGGAAGAATAACTATTTATGTTGTGAGAGCTTTTGCACGAGGCTATGTAACAGATCAAATTTTAAGAATGATAAACCTTGATGTATCTGAAATAAGATTTCTTGTTGCTAATTCAAATCAAATATCGTTGATTCTTACAAAATTGAGTTATATTTAAAATAATTTTTTTAACTGTATTAGAACTCTAGACTAGAGTTTATTTGTTGAGTTTATTATTTCAATCGAATCATGGTTGGATTACTTATTAATATCTAATCCAATACTCAAAATATATGTTTCAAAATAAACACAAATTTTATTTGTAATGTTAAATTAGACTTAATTAATTAAAAGTTGAGTTTCATGAACGTGAAATGATATTTAGGGCATACAAGAAGCACTCTTCTGTTGAGTTGTGGGAGGATAGCAAGAAAGCATCAATAGAGGCAGAACTGAAGAAAATTGAGGTGATTAGCATGGTTGCCTTGATGTACATATACACTGATTATGTTAAATTTGTGTTCAAAGATCATCACTTGAAAAAAAATGTTTTCAACAGGAAAATTTGGAAAGGAAGAAGGCTGAGTGTGTTGAAAAAATGAAGAATAAAGTTGCTGAAATTCACCGATTAGCTGAAGAGAAAAGGGCATGTGTGGATGCACAGAAGAGTGAAGAATTCCTGGAAGTAGAGGAGACAGCTGCAAAGTTTCGTAGCCGTGGAGTTACGCCAAGGAAATTCTTTGCATGCTTTAGTGCCTAAGTTTCTTAGGTCAATGAAACACCAAATTTTCATCCATTTCTTATATGTTGTTACACATTTAAATATTGTTCGCTGTGTTGTTTTTTCATATGTACTATTTGGAGCTGTTGATTTGAAGAGGATAAATTAGTATAGAAATAAGGGAAGAAGATTTGTCTCCCATAGTTGTTCAATATACTGTTGAAAAAATATTAGCAATTTGATTTACTTCCATTATGCTCTTTTAACTTCATTCTTTATTAAAATACGTGCTTTTTCCTGTAATTATAATAATCAGTCATGAATCGATAACCGTATAATCTTTTGAAAATATATCTACTGGTCTAGATCAGTTGATATAATTACTTTGTGAATTAAATATTTGGAAAGAAAGTTAACTTTTATTTAATTTTCAAAATCTTTATAGTGATTCTTTTAAAAGAAGAGAAACATATTGAATTTTCTGATTTACAATATATGTGAAATCACAGGTGATTCAATGTTAAGATCACAAATGAGTGGTTTATGTGAATTTGTGATTACAAAGGAGGCAAACCTATGTTAATGTGATGCAAGCATTCAATTACTTTAGCATATTGAGATTTTAGGGTTCTCTAATATTGTTAATTACATAAACGCATGTACAAGGTGTTATACTAAGAAAGATTAAAAGAAATCTCATATAAAAGTCAGTCTTTGATACTAATACTCAATGAAATATGAGAAATTATCTATATTTATATGAATAATGTCAAGTTGATAAGTGAGATGAATATTTATGGTATTAGTTAAAAAAGAGACTAAAGTAAACTGTCTTAAACCGAAGTGTCCTGAATGAATATTTTTAAACTATAAACTCTATTAATCAAAATCTAAGATTTTATGGCATACATGCTACTGCCTTTTTATGTCAGTGAAGCACTTCGACTAGAACAATTATTGTACTTTCTGTAATGGTTTATAATAATTGATTACGGCACCACTTCAGCCAAACGCTACAATTTATAACTTTTACGACATGTGAAAATGGGTGAGACTTCAGGATGCAAAATGCATTTGACTCTTCGTATGTATACTTAAAGTAGCAATATATCATAACATGTTATTAAGATGAGCAATAAACCCCGAATGATGAAATACAACCTTAATGTGTATAAAGTAAAAAAGAATATTAGTTAACAACGGTAGAAAATACCACTGAGAACCTTTTACGAATATTTTTCACTGAGTCAAATGATCATTACCATTCAGCCTTAGAATGGTGTATAAGTGTAGATAAAAAGAATGCCTTGTGTATTTGCTATGGCCATCGTTTCTCTCCAACTGATGAGGTACATCCAAAACCAGAAGCAGTTTGCTAATACAATAAAACAAGCCAATACCCATCTGAACGACTTAAAGAATTTTTAACCACATGTTGTATGTGAACAGATGAGCTATATGAATTCATTCACCACTTGTTCTTAAGTCAGGAATCATTTTAAATTCTGAAAAAGCTCCGGAAGATGGGCATTAGTCAGCTTGGTCCTCTTAGTGATTTCATTCTTCTTCTTCTTAGGTTTAGGCTTTGTTGAAATGCCTTCCATTTGCGCTGCACTCCTCCTCTTTGCAGTGTTAGTAGCAGGCTTCATTCCATTCTTTTGTAGATCCCTCTCTATGTCAATCATATCACGAGGCAATTCAATCTCCCGAAAAAGCTGTTTTAGGTCATCATCCACCTTAATGGGCACTTTAGGATCATTCGGGTAGGCAATGTCCTCTTGTGAGTCAAAGTTGGATAACAGCCAAACCTCCCTTGAAGCTTTCAAAGCCTACAACCCAATAACGGTCTAGTTCCGTGAGAAACCAATTATTTAACTAATTTTTGACTCCTTGCTACTCTAAGAAAATCACCATTCACCACTACAAATTATCCAAGTATTAGATGTTGCAAATTAAATTTTTAAGTAGTTCAATTCTTTGGATATTTTTTTAAAAAAATAACACCACAAAGTTTCACTCATGTATTATCTTAGTATCACATCAACCTATAGAAGCAGAGACACAGAATGGTCTTTCAAAAAAAAAAACAGACAAACGAAAGTATGCTAACGAAGGAAGACGTGGAAAAACTAAATGTAAGACCCACGAAAAATAAATTTTTTGAAGGGTGATTTGGACGAGATTTATATTTTTTTATAATAAAATAATAATATGTTAAACAGAATATGGAATGTCACTAATAAATGAATATTTGGTACAAAACTGAACCCCTTCAGGTAATAATGACATGCAAAGTTCAGCTTTTTGCTCAAGTAATGCCAGAGAATTCAAAATCCCATATACGAGAAAAATCCATTTCCTCAATACAAGCCATAATGGCATAATTCAATACTAGCAACTCGATGTTCATAGAAAGGGGTAAAATGATTTTAAGATTTAATTGATGTGATGTTTCAGTGAATAAGCAAATTAGTCCAAAAATCAGATCACATTTGTTTGGTTCACCCAAATTTTCTAGTTTGGCACCTATACTTAACTGACATGAACATATTTTAAAGTTATAAGATTCCAAAGTTTATTTAAAGTTATAAAATTCCAAAGTTTGGTCCTTGTATAAAGCAATTTTGGATTTCCATACTTCCGTTTTATATACTCACAACAAGAAGGCATAAGCAAGTGCTAACCATATTTGAAACTCAATCTTTCAACTATGCCATTACTTTCAAAATAATACATATAAATTTAAAGTATGAAAGACAGCCTCTGAACCCTCTTCAAGTTATGCTAACTTATAACTTCATGTAGATTTAACGTGTGAAAATCTCATTATGTTAAAGTTAGAGACAACTTTACTTGAAATAATTTATTATTTTCATGACATCCACATTATGAATTTGCCTAAATAGAGTTTCATTGCATGAAAAAGAAAATTTTCAAGTACAAACATTGAAATAAATTAAAAAAAATGAGAGAAACTATTTAGAATGTGCTTGAAAACACAAATAAAGGGTGGGATATACACTTGGACTTGTTCCTTTCCTTGAAAGAGCTAAGACCATGGGTAGACATAATATAACTAGTTTTTATACATATGTACACTATATTAGTTTGTCCATATATCGTCTTAAAAGAATTTCACAACTCTCTTACTGAAACATTTGATCTTAAGAAAGTGAAATTTAAACTTAACTCAATTTCAATATCGATTTATAAAATGAGGTTTGTATATACTTTAAAATGAAGTTTGTTTTCACATTAACTAACAAGAATAATTTACCTGCAAGTCTTCCATCACAGTTGGGTAAGAATCTTTTAGGTCAACAACAGCAATGCCCTCTGGAAACTTACGCACCAGGACAAGCAGCTGACTTTTGTCCCTAATATCATGCTTGGACTGCAGAGAAAAAGCAATGCCAGTATCACAAACCAAACTATGGACCTAAAACTGAAACATGAAAGTGTAGATACAGTAACACGTTAATAGAAGTTACCTTGTAAGAGAATCTTTCCCCATCATATTTTATTTTTGGGTTTTTCCTCATACTCTCAAAAACATCCTTATTAGCTCTCATGTCCACATAACACGCTTCATTTATTTGCTCCATCGTTAAAGCCTTTCGGGTCTGTAAAGCAAACACAAGCAAAAACACTAAGCATCAATGACACTCACTAACCACCATTCAGAATGACCATCAGACACAAAATAACTTACAGAAGGCTAAAGTAAAGCATATACTATTTCCCATCCTCTTACCAATAATCAGCAGCGTCATATTACAATTAGCCAAATGCTAACTGTTCCCTTAGGACACTGGTAAATGAATTCAAATTTTTAATTAAATATTATCATTAATCCACTTCCATTGGGATTTACTATGCATTCTCAATGTGAATTCTGATAAAGGCTTTTTACTTTGAATTTGTTAACTGTCTTTAGGATACTGGTTATCAAGATCCTTAAAGTGAAACATTTTTAACAGAAGATAAGCAATCTTATTCAAGTCATAAGGACAATTAGATGTTCTGAGTATAATAACCCCGGTTGCATATTTGACACTGCTGATTAAGCATATTTTTAAAGACTCCGGGTATTTTTCACTTTTCACGAGAGACAATCCTGTTTGAATTAGTTAGAATCACCATCATTTCTGAGTATAACCTAACTGCATATTCGACACTGGTCCTTGAGCCTTTTTTAGAGACCACAAGACGAGAGACAACAATACCGATCCGTTAGGATCATTATGAGTTCTAAGCATAACCCAGCTGTATATTAACAAAGTACATTGAACAATTTTTTAGAAATCAAGTATCTTACGTGAAAGACAATACCACTTGAATAAGTCAGGATCATCAAGAGTTCTATATTCCAGCTGTATATTCAACACTGCTGATCAAGCATCTTTATTTAGAAATCACAAATATGTTTCCCGAGAAACAATCCTACTAGGCTAAGAAGCCATGGGTTTTGCGTATAACTTAACTGTATATTTGCCACTACCTATTGTGCTAGAACAACTTTACACTAATTGATCCATTCGGTCTTTACTAAAGATGAATAAACCATAACACAAATATTTACGGTAATATAGAAAAGATGGAATGAAAGAATTATATATACCTCAAAAAGGAGATCAATAACACGCTTCATCTGAGCCCCTACCGGTGCTTTGCGGATGCTATTAACATGTTGAAGTCTTTCCGTGTCGTTAGAGAACTTGACAGCACCTGGAGTTCTTCCATTGTTTGAAGCCGAAGAATTCTTCTCTGGCTGCCTTTTAAACCTGTTTCCCTTTTCCTGAAACGCCATCTGACGTAAAAAACTGATAGTAATCGCAGCACAAGGTTTTACTCTCAGATTTGCAAATCGATCAACTCCGCGCTGGTACTTTTGATTATCTACTCTTCTATGTCTATTATTTGGGGAAAAGGCTTAATCAATATATCTTATTATTCGTGGATCCAAATTGGAAAGGGAATCAAACAGGTGGTAAGTGGATTTTGAAAATGGTAGATTACGAGAAGATTGAAAGGTGTATGATCGCGGGAAATTGGATTGTGTGGCAAAGGGGATTGCCTTCACAGGTTTTTCTCCTGCACAATCTGAATCACGCAGACATAGGAAGGAAGGTCTCCTATAATATTTCTCCGCAATTCAAAGCGTGCCTACCCTCCTGTGCTATTTAACTAGGTTAAATAACTTTTTCTTTTTTTA